CAATGATTGCTCAGGTTTTTCTTTTTCTATTTTCTCTTTCTTTCTTTTTTTTTTTTTGTATTTCCTATGCAAGTATAGTTTTGTGGCTTCTCGTCATAACCAAGGATGACAAAACCAGAAGAGATTTATGTCAATTGAATGATCGACCCTTATTCTGTTCAGGGCTATTCTTTCCCTCTGGCTACACAGGGTGGTAGTGATGTGCTAGCCAGAGGCCGAACAAAGATAAACTATTCTCCTACGAAGTGGCAGAGCACAACTACGTAACCAAACACAAAAGGCTTCTTTCTTCAAGTTTGTCCAGGGCAACTGTTGATAGACAGAAGAAAGAGTAAAATTAATAGTTTAATACTAGAAAAATGATAATTGCCACCTAATATTTGTATAGTGACATATTTTGTAGTTTTGGTATTACATTATCTCACATGGAGCAAACCTGCAATAAGGGAAGGATGGTAATATTACACAACCTTTTAGAGAGTAAGAAATCAACATATAAGAAGGTTAAAGGAATTGTCTACAATCTCAAGTGGAAGAATAGGTTTAAGAACTCAAGCTTTTTGTTTTCTTTTCATGTGTGTGCATGCATGTGTACTTTCTAGTAAAATATTTTATACCCTCCTTTTACAAAAACAAAACAAAACAAAATACAAAAGAAAAAAGAGTTGAACAAAAAACTCTGCTATGTTAAACACATACAATGATCAATTTCTGAAGAATATGCATTTGCTGGATTATGAGATCTTGCAAGGTATAAGTGTGAATTTGAAGAAATTGAATGACTTAAAATGCTTTAAAATGCCTTTTAAATAGGATTTTCATTTTTGCTCCTCATTTTCCTATCAGGCATGGGTGTCATATATCCAGTTCAGTCTCCTTTCAAGGGTGTTTCTTATGCTGATGCTTTTCTCCTCCTTTTTCCCCTGTCCCCGAAACCTAAACTCACCCCTCTCAAGAGAGTTTTTTGGCTATATATTACTTGGGAAGCCTTCATTCAAGGCCTGGAGACCATTAATGTATCCCTCCCACATTATTTAGAGGGCATCTATTTAGAAAAATACATTAAGAGGAAACATTATTGCTGAAGGACTTTGAAATCATACGTCACATGGTGGTTACCCATTCCTGGGAATGCCCTCAGATACAATCTTATTTAAAGAAACAGAGAGAGAGACACAGAGAAAGAGAGAGAGAGAGACACACACACACACACACACACACAGAGAAACACTGATGTGAGAGAGACTCATCCATCAGGGCTAATCTTAAGAATTTGATGATTGACACATAGCTGGCCCTCAATGAGCAGCTATAGATAACCATTGAGTTTGCTGCTGCTGAAGTGACTATATTGCATTATTTTGTGCTTTCTGAATAAAAAATAGATCTTCAATTAAGGTATGCTTTTGATAGCTGCTGATAACATCTGATAGACTAATTTGCAGCTAGAGCAGCAAAAAACAAAAACAAAAACAGGCTACATCACTACTCTTGTTTGTTTGATGAATATCAATAAATATGGATGAAACACCTGAAGGAGCACCCCCATGCCTAGTTTGCAAATTTGCCAAGTATGCAGACAATGGAGGTACTGCATGATTATGTTTGTTGAAAATAAAAAAGAGAGACACATAAATAGGGCTAGTGAGAATAAAGATTCAGTGACAGTATCGCATAATACTTCTATCTTTCATCTTAGATAGTTGAAAGCATTTTAAAAGCGTCTTCATGACACCCTTCTGGGGCTAGTAGATGGCAAAGAAATATCAACTCCATTTAAATTAAAAAGGATGCTGAAACAGGAGTTGAAAAGTTAAGCGACTGCTTAGTGTCTCAGTCTCAGTAACAGAGGCTATGTCTATCTGTGGCAAGTGTATTGTTTCATTTGCCCCCAAGCAATCTTTTTCTAGCTCTGCATAAATTATCTACCTGGCAAAAAACAGACTGAAGCTAGGAGCAAAAATATACTTCTGTGGGTGTAATTGTATTCGTGGCCAAACAGAATTTGGACTTCTTCCATTAGCAGGAATGCCTGGTGGTAGGTACTAACTTTAAAACCCTGAGTTGTCAACAAACAGAAGGAGCCTAGTTGAACAGGATTAGAGAAGAAATGGAGAAATGGGATAAATGCACAGGCACATCCAAGGATTTAATCTGAAACTTCCTAGAGGGAGATGAATTTGTGAGAGGGATACTTTCCTTGGGGCTGGGCTCATTTCCTTCTGTTCCCTATCCAGCTACTGTTTTTGTCCTCTTTTGCTCCTTAGCTCCCTCAGCAGTACTGGAAGTCAGACTGGGAACAGCCAGTATCCAGCACAGGTTTCTTCCTGATAAGAAGTAGCAGTACTGATGATCCTCCTTCCTTCTGCTGAGGACACTGAGCAGTTCCCTGAAGCCCCTCCCTGCCCATACTTCCTTAACATCTTTTGCTTCTCTTACATCTCGCCCTCACCAGCTGCAGCCACGCTGTCCTTGCTCTCGCTCAAGTAAACAAGGCGTGTTCCTGACTCAGTCTTCGCACTTCCCATTTTCTCTGCCTGGAATGTTGATTTTACTCAACTAGTTTCTTCATATTATGCCTCCTCTGGCTACTCAATCTTGATTTGGAGTGACCAAGTGTCTGGTTTTGCCTGGGACTGAGGATTCCTATAGGACAGGGACTTTCAGTTTTAAAACCCAGTCAGTCCCAGGCAAACTAGGAATGCCTTGATTACCCTATTTAAATCGCTTCCCTCCTTCACTGTTTGTTCTTAGCATTTATCACCATCCAATAGACTATACATTTTTTTTTGTTTGTTTTATTTACTGTTTGATTTCAAGTATTCAGATTGGCTCATAGTACGTGCTCAGAAACTGTTTTGAATAGATAAAGAAATAAATGAAAAATTTAGGAAGTTTTAATCATATACAAAGAAACTAATAGAGCTATATTTCCTGAAGCAAATTATCAAGTTTATAAAGTCTTGGTCAAATGTAATTTGTCTCTCAAAATAAATGCACCATTTCCTTATGAATGATAATTTGGGAGGGGGGAGTTTAAGCAATGTTTTTGTTTATAATTTAAAGTTAAAGTTATTTCATTCATTTTTTAAATATTTATTTTATTTTTTTTATCCTCACCCGAGGACATTTTTCCATATTGTGTTCAGATAGAGTGGGAGGGAGAGAGAGAGAGAGAGAGAGAAAGAGAATCATCGACATGAAAGGGACATATTGAGTGGTTGCCACCCGCATGACCCAACCAGGGCCGGGGACAAACTGCAACAGAGGTATGTGCCCTTAGTGGGAACCGAACCTGGGTCTCTCTGTACTGCAGGCTGACGCTCTAACTGCTGAGCAAAACCGTCCAGGGCTAAAATATTTATTTTATAAAAATAGACTACTAATACAATGTAGTATTACACTTTAGATATTATGTTGGGGGATCACTTGTGTGCATTGAGGTCAACTAATTTTAATTTATTAATAGACTGTACCTATAATGGAAATTCAGTTTGTTTTAATGCATGTAAATTTTTTATTTGCCCCCATGAAAACTTAGGCATATGTTTGATTAACAAACATAATACTTTTCTTAATATTCAGTTATTATTGACTAGATTAATAAATAGGTGAATTCAAAAGGCAAATGTATAGGAAATCAAATCTTCCAAGTGGATAAGAAATCAGAAGTCATGAGCTGCCATATATTTCGGGTGGCGTTTTTGGTATCTAAGTTACTGATTGTACACTTGACCTGAAAAGCCTGAGCAACCTTTCCCTTTCTTTAGTATTTCTATGCACTTGGGTTGTCTTTGTCTCTTACTTATCCATGTTGGTAAGGTGCTAAGGGGAGAACACCAGATCTGGGGGCAGAAGTTTTGCTTTAAAAATCATAAGGTACTCCATAGCAATGTAAGGTGGAGCAAGATGAGGAGAGGTGAGGTGTCTCCGGGGTGCTTGTGTTGCAGGTTATTGAGTAGTCACCACCAGATGGTTCTAAGCTTGGTTCTTCATTCATACCCATTCTCTACCTTGCCAGTGAAGTGTATCCCTGTTAGAAAGAATATATTTGGAATGGAGTATGCAATTTCCCCTTCAGATCTGAAGAGTCACTGAGATTCTGTTCTCAAAATGAATGACTAGGGAGATATATTCCTAGTAGCTTCTTACCAGTTTTAATCAAGTCACCTTTATAGAAGTAGGTCATCCACTGGCCATAGATCTTTAGAATAGATATAGATCCTCCATTTTAAAACTAGATTTTTATCTTGGTAAATTGATGAATAGCTATACAGAGGCCAAATAATGTAGTGGGTAAAACAGACTATGGAGCCAGACTGCTTATGCTCCAATCCCATCTCTGCCATTTATTCGACATCGAAAAAGTGACTTATTTCATATGTTTCCTGGTCTTCCCTACCTCAAATGTGTATGAGAATTAAAAGTGTTAATAGCACAAAGTTCTCAGAAAAGTTCCTGATGTGTAGAAAGTGCCATACAATTGTTATTATGTTACTATTATTGTATAAATCAAATTAATCTCATCCAAATGGGGTAATTTAAGTTCTACTCCAGGCCTGAGTTTTGATATTCATTTTTTTTTTTTTTACCACAAGAGTTGTGTTTTTATTTATATAACTTCTTATGAAGTAGATGTTATCTACTTGAGACTAAAAATTGAAGCTGCTTTTCCCACAAAATAATTGTTAAATGATTACATTCTTAGTTTTTTCATGATATAGTAATATTAAGTCATTTTTACAAAATTAGATGACAATTTAAAGTGAATTCTTTGCCCTTATAAATCAGTAAATCTATGAAAAATCTTACTAGGAGCAAATGCACAAAACACCAGTGAAACTGAAACATGAGTGACCCTTGCTGAGAAAATCGAACATCTTTCCAATAGGTTTACTTTTTATTCACATGGCGTGTGGTTGACCCAACATGAGCCATCAGACACTTCAGCAACCAGAGCTTTTTCGTTTCTATTTAATTCTTTTCCCTAAAAAAGCAGTCTACGAATATGAAATAAGTGAGAACAGGCTGGAGTCCTGCACGGATCCAGTCTCAGTGTGATGGCACGTTCCCGTTCCTCCTCTAGTTTGCAGACCACTCCATTTAGCCACTTGGGAAGAATTTATTTTCTTGATATCAACTTGGCTCAGAATCAATGTCCCATTTTTTAATTTTACAACATGTCCAATCCAACTACTTGACAAAATACTGGGAGCTGATTTCTTCTTTTTGGATTTTCTGTCTTCCTGCCCTTTCCTCTTCTTTTTCTTGAAAATATCTGTGTCTTGGGCCACTCTCTCTTTTCTTCTTCCTTTGCTGCTTTTTTCCCCCCTTTAATCTGCTCCTGCAAAACCTTGTAATTCACATAACTCTTTTTGGGAGACTGCACACACAGTATAACCACGCATTCCGGTTCTAGGACTCTGTTCTTTCTTTTTCCACACCCTGTGATCCCAAACCGGTGCACCTGCAGCTGAGCCTTTTCTAAGTTAAATTCTTGTATATTCCCATCTTTCTCAAGGCTACTAGTTTTGGTCTTTGAGTTCTCATCTTGATCTGGCATCTGTTTTCTTTTTTTATTTCTGCTGTGGAGTTCAACCACTTCAACCGGCTCCTTCCTGGTCAAGGGAGAGGGAGACGCTGTAGCATGAAGGATTTGTGTTCTCACAGGGGCACTGGTGGGGGTCACAGCAGGGCACTCTTCTCTGAGCTCTGAGAAGAAACTCGAAGTACTCTTCCTCTGGCCTCTTACAAGAGGACCAGGTGGGGGTGCGGGCTTTGCCCTCAATGCCACTGGAGTCCCCACATCTCTCTTGTTTTTCCTTTTCTTTCTGACCCTTTTCTCTTCTGCGTCATCTTCTATCTCTCCAAAGATGTAGAGGTTGTGCAGCACAGTGTCCAGAAGCTTATAGGAGGTGGGGAGAAGGACCCCAGCTCCTGGCCCCACACCATTGTGGGGCCGGGCTCTGCCGGGCCACCCGGAGCCTATGGCCTGGTATTCATTTTGTATGACCCACTTAGAGCACATGGATCTCCAGTGGTGGGTACCCTCTTGCCAAACTCTGCTTTCCCTCTCCCCACCAAAAAAAAAAAAAAAAAAAAAAAAAAAATCCACCATGGACTTCATATATATTTTTTGATTACTTAGGAGTAATAACAGATAGGACAGGCCAATCCCAGCTCTTACAAAATTATTATCTCATCCAAGGGAGACTGCTTTGCTTATAGACTGCCTCCTGTTCAGGGAAAAGCCATATGCGATTTCTTACCTATTGCTTTCTATAGTGGTATCACCTCTGTCATCTTTATGTCACAGCAGGTTGACACAAGGAAAGACAATTGGCTCAATGCACCTGGTCTGTAAGTTGTCCAGTGAATGGTCTCTGAGGTGACTTTGCATGAAAGTTATCAAAACATGAATGATGTTGGTTGTTTAGGCCAACTCAGATGTTCTATTTGGGGATATCTTACTGAGGATATATGGAGAAAGCACGAGTTATTTTATTAGCATCAGTAGGGCTGAGTGAGCTGAAGTGACTCTTAGGCCATTGTCACTTAGAGATATGCAGAAATCATGAATAAGCAGAGGCAAAAAGACATATACTATAGAATGAGTTAGTTGGCTTGATAGTAGCTAACTAGCTCCCATATGTGCTTGGGTCCACCAATTTTTGACTTGTTCCAAATTCTAGAGGTCTACCCCATGCTGTTTTCTGCATTTCCTTTATATCAGTGTGCATGTTCATAATATATTCTTATTTTTTTTGAAGTAATTTGAATGAAGCCCTGTTTCTTGCCAGCCAAATAGCTTAATGATCACTCCAGATGTTATACTCTTCTTTTTTTACAGGAGGAAAAAATAATGAGCATAAAAGTTCTTGATGGCAGGAAATATATTGCATTTATAATTAGAAGCCCCAAATTTTACATCAAATATATAATTATGCTAGCTTTATTCAAGAAATGTTTTTAAATAAATAAACGAATAATGGATAATGGCCATTGTTATTATTTTTTTCTTTTTTCTTTCTTGAGGTATATTTCTCATACAATAAAATATACATATTTTAAATGTTCAATTTGGTGAGTTTGATAATTGAATTCACCACAATTAATATAAAAATGTTTCCAGCATCCCCCAAAGATTCCTGTGCTCTTTTTTAGATATTCTCCCAACTCTCAAGAGGGGATCACTTTCTGATGAATATCTATCACCACACGTCACTATTCTTATACCTCAGATAAAATGAATTATACAATAAATTATCTTATGTGTTCTGTTTCATTCACTCAAGATAATGTTTTGAGATTCACCTATGTTGTGTGTGTTTCAGAAGTAATTGCTTTTTATTGCTGGATAGTATTCCATTGTATGAATACAACATAATTCGTTTATTCTTTCTCCTGTTGATGAATATTTGGATTGTTTCTCAGTATTGGGCTATGAATATTCCTGTACAAGTCTTTTTATGGACATACGTTGTGATTTCTCTTGAGTAAATATCTAAGAGTGACATCACTGGCTGACAGCATAGCTATATGTTTACCTTCGTAAGAAACTGTCAACCCATTTCCTAACATGGTTGTGCCATTTATACCCCTGTGAGCAAAGTATCTTTGTCAATATTGTGCATTGCCATTCTTTTTCACGTTGGCCATTTTGATGTGGTTGGAATGATACCTTATTGTGGTTTTAATTTGCATTGTTCCTAAAAATTAATGATGTAGAGCACTTAAAAAACTTTTTTATTGGCCAATTGCTAATCTTCTATGAATTAAGCCTTTTGCCCATTTAAAAAATTAAGTTACTTGTATTTTTATTGTTTACTTATAAGAGTTTTTATATATCTTGAGTCCATTTTTATAGATATCTATATTTCCATATATCTATATATAGTAAATACTTTTTCATAGTCATTGGTTTGCTTATTCATTTTCTTTTCTTCAAATATGTTTTTATTGATTTTAGAGTGAGAGGAAGAGAGGGAGAGAGAAATAGAAACATCAATGAGAGAGAAACATCTATTGGCTGCCTCCTGCACGCCCCCTATGGGGACTGAGCTTGCAACTTGGACATGTGCCCTGACTGGGAATTAAACTGATGACCTCTTGGTGCATTGGTTGGCACAACCACTGAGCCACCCTAGCCAGGCTGCTTATTCATTTTCTTAATGGTGCTTTCTTAATGAGCAGAAATTAAACATTTTGATACTGAGTGTCCCTCAGAAAAATGTTAGGACATGTTATTATATGAATCAGAATAACCATTTTTAGCCATCTCTGAGTAAAATACTTCAGGCAAATCAACTTGCCTGAAAATACTGTTTTGTTTTTTACTTTTTTTTGGTTTTTTTCCTCAGAAAGACAGACTGTAGTTTGAGATCAAGGACATGAACTGTCTATGTAATGTCTATAGTCTCCAATTATTGTGACGCTAATTAGTCAGTGGTGGTCAAAAAAGTATCATTTTTTAAGTCATGGGGCTACTTTCAAGGAAGTAAGATATTATGCCTTACATAGAGAACAAATGAAAATTTTCATATTAACAAACAGAGTAGGTTTGGCTTTCAGTTTATAGAGATTTTATTTTTTATAATATTTTGATTTAAAAATGAAGTAAAGTGAATTGTATTTTCTATTTTAAATGTGAAGCACATCAAATTGTTGGCATCTTGAAGTAAACCATTCACTTTCTCACTGAAATAACTATTTTCCAGATTTTATTTTTTACCTGTTGGGTTCTATGTTTGTTCTAAATATGTATGGGCAAAGGAAAATTTACTTGACCTGTTGGCTTATGACTTGCATGAAGTCACATTAACATGGTTGCTCAAATTATGGTGGCTTTGGGCATGCATCCGAAGAAGCTGATGGAAGTGGAATCGTATATTTAGAACACGTAAATCAGTTTATATGAAGACAACTTATTATTATTTTTTTCCAAAAGATTAACAGACATAGATCATATAGTGTTCAAAAGCATGGAATTTGGAGAAGAATGAATTTGAATTCGGCTCTAAGTTTCACTAGCTGTGTGACCTTTGATAAATTACTTATAATTTCTGTGCTTCAGTTTTCTTATCTGAAATATGGATAAAAGCAGTAACCATGTCATACTGTTTTCATGAGAGATAAATGAGTTGCTATATATAAAGCACTTAGAACAGTGCCTGGCACATTAGGAGGTACTCTGTATTGGTTGTTACCATTATTATTATTTTCCTCCACAAGAATTTGTGAGGGGTGCCTGAGTGTGCCTAATAGTTTCATAAATAACACATCATGTATTATTGTGGCTGTTTTCACACTGACTCTAGCCTTCTTCTTCTCCGAATGCTCTCTTTAGTCTCAGATGGCTGACCATCATCCTCAGGCCACTAAAAGCTCTTCCTTACCTTCTATTTGATCCCATGCATAAGTACCAATGCTTTACTTAGTTTTCTACAATCTGCCCAAGACCTGAATGTTAATTTTATCAAAATTTAGTAAGGTTCCTGAATACCACAAGGTAAGGACAGCAGACATAATAATTTGAAAATTTTGCTAGAGGAATTCTGGGTTCCAGTAAAAACAACAAAAAATACAACTTTCCAAACCTGACTCCTTCAATAAAATTAGAAGACCAAGAAAAATCCACAAACTCTAAATAAAATATAAGCTAGGGAAAGAACATCTGAAACCCAAACAACATGGGATGCCAAACAGTGCATCAGGGCTGCAGGGACCGTGGGAAAGAAATGGGAGTGAGATTGTCAAGCAGCAGAGCACAAAAATATCATCAAATAGTCCCCTCCCAAAGGGGGGACCCTTCCTGAGCGAGAACTGTTGTGGGTAGGACTGAGAACAGGCAGAACAGGGTATTAGGGCTTGGGGAAGCAACGAGAATAATTGTGGAAAGTTACATTGAAAGATACTAAAGGAAATACCTGTCACAGTAAAAAGAGAGGGCACATTCTTTGAGCGAAGACTGGGAAACCTCTATTCTCTCATCCACCAGGTTCTTTTGATAATAGGTAAGCCAGGAAAAAGAATCTCATTCAATTAAGAATACAAAAGTGAAAATTTGGGGATTCCAAAATGGCAGTGGAGAAAATGGAAGCTACACAGACTGTTTCCCAGGACCAAACTGGAATTAGAACTAAAACACAGACAAATCGATGGGAAAAAGCAACAAAAAAGTGGCTTGTGAGGATCATATAACCAGGGACATTGACTCGATCCTGGTAGGATTGCGGAGGCACGAGAGGGGCACTGGGAGCCCACAAACAGCAGCGGCTTTAGCTGTGAGCAGCGCCCTTGGGTTAAAGTCCCAAGCGGCTCCACAGCACAGAGCCAGGACAGATGCTAAAATAGCCACAGACACTCACCTTGGGCTCCGGCAGAGGGAGGGCAGACTGGACTGGAACTGCGTGGGGACACTCAGGATTTGGAGGGGGCTCAGAGCTTTTGCTGAGTTCCAGCCATGCAGGACGGTGGCCATCTTGCTCCTTACCAGGTCTCTGGGGAGAGGCAGTGGCCACTCCCTCAGAGATTCAACCCCACCCTGTGGGCCATTGAAATGCAAATTGAGGCTCACTAACAACCAGCATCTGCCCCACCCTCGGGAAATCCTCTTATGCTGAGCACCCCAGGGAGTTTTTCAATCAACTGACAACCCAAAACTCTTCAGGTAACCACTGCTGATAGCCTCGAGGCAAAAAGCTAGTGGATAACTGTTCCATTCCTAGGCTAGTAACTCTAACCAGGAAAGTAAGATGTGACAGTGGTGTTTAACGTGGGTCCTCCCTTGCTCATCCAAACCCAGAAAAGGGAACCACAAACAGCAGAACACCAACACCCACAGGGAAAACTTGGCAGGCTCCAAAGCCCACACTGATAGACAAAATGGTGAAACACAGAAACAAAAGCCAAATGAAAGAACAAGAGACCTCTACCGAAGATGAGATAAATATGGAGCAGTTAGGCAAGTTAACAGAGCTAGAATTCAGAGCCATGATCTTGAGCAAGCTCAACAGCATGAGTAAGGAC